TTCGGATACTTTCCGATATTTCAGTGTGAGAATTTTTCAGAGATGTATCTGAGAGTGATCTTCAATGAACATTCTTCATTCTTGACTGATTTCCCTCAAAAAAATGCTCTAACCCTGCACACTACACTCCAACAAATCACCCTTTCTTTAGGTCAATCATTTCTTAATGTACATTTGAAAGGCATAGTTACAAATTTAAAAATAAATCCATTGACTAGAGCCTGAGTAGAACAGGACAGTCACTGCAATCTCCACAAAAGTGCAGAATTAGAAACCTAGAATCAGTTTAACTAAGTTCAACTCCACCAGAGTCCCAGCAGCACGGACAGGGATGTTGTACACGTGTAACTTACCAACACCCCTCCAAGACTGTCCTCCACGTCACTTCAGCTACAAAAAGTACTTCTGCAGTCTCACACAGGAAATTATAAACGTTAACAACCACATAAGTATGAAATATGCTAAATGCAAACTCAAAAGGAAATGCTTGGCAGCTTTTTCTTTTGACTTATTGTATCTTTTTTCCTATTCTTCTGCAATACTTTCCATTCTCCCTCGCCAAGTATGTTACAAACTTGCTTTTCAGTCCCAAACACCAAGGGCAGAAAGCCCAGACCAAACATTTCTTTGGAAATTTGTTCTAAAACAGCTAGGTAAGTCTGAGAAAAACAGATTTTGTATGCAGAGTTCTTGGTCTCACTCCTTTTCACACTTGCCATGTGGCCGAGCTCACCCCCAGGAGCAGCCTCAGTGATTTCAGTGAGCCACACCCACGCAGGTGGGCAGAGCTACAAAGCCAGGCTGCACCCCAGGGGTTTGTTGCCACTCACAGCAGGTAAGGAAGCAGCTGCCCTCCTGCACCCTTCCCACTGGAACTCAGCACTGAAGGGACTGCTCTCCTCATCTTCCTATTTCTACATTTTCTCCAGAAGGTAATAAGCAGACCAAAGCATATGGGTTAGGCATTTTTGATAATTTGTCTGACTGCAACATACTCCAAATAGGTTAAATAAGTTACTTTCTTATATCATTCATAGTTTCAGTAACAAAACGTTTATTACTATTCGGGAAACAGACGCTTAGTGACAAACCATTGGTTACACAGCGCAAAAGTGAGAAAAAATACACCATAAATCTAGAAAGCCAGAAAGTAGCACAAGTGACCTCCTCAACCTGCATCCCCTGGAAAAGCATGAGGTGCAGCTGAGCTGGCCCCACACAGACAGAGCAGGGCCAAAGCCACAGGAGAAGAAAGCCAGCACATAGCAGGGACACCAGTGACAAGCCTGCCACCAGAGCAGGGCTTTAGCTCAGGCAAAATGGAAGACTCAGATGAGTCCCTCTGAAAGGAATACACTATAACCACAGTTATACCCAGAAACTACCCAAAAATACTTCTACTAAGAATGGTAATTGACAACAATTTCATTTATATTTTGATCTGTCTCATTCACCCATCATCTGTTCTGCAGCTGGGGTCTCAGGAAATGAATAGAAATTTAAATGCAAAAAAATTTAAACTTCGGCAACAGTGACAGATAAAGACAAAGAAATTATTTCAAAAACACAGAGCTTTTTATTAAAGTATTTTAAAAGATTGGATCAGCCTGAATGTTTTTGAAGAGAGTTCTACAATTGCACAGATTACAAGCAATAGAATTTTGCTTTTTCTATTATTTGTTGTTTATCAAAATTGTTAACTGCTACTTAGAGCAGCTGTATTTCCACATCACTTAAAATTGCTTCTCCTTTCTAGTAATTTAGTTCCAATGATTCATGTGGTTGCTACAGTGATAACTCATTGAGAAAAAACATTCTATAGGTAGAAGAAGAAAAAATGAAAATGAAACAGCAATGTAGAAGCCTGCTTCATTAAACTCTGAAACTTAAACTCTCATTGTTTAAAGAAGAATTATTTCCCAATGCTATTTGCATATTTAAAAACTACTGCAGGAATGCACGATTATGTACACAGAACTTGCCAGCACAGCTCCGTTCTTATTGTTCAAGGGCTGCTCCTCAGCCAACTTCTTCATTTGATGGGAAGTCATTGACACGAACTGCAAACGCATTTCCTCACCAGATCTTTGGTGTGTCCATGTTTTAGGAGAGAGGATCATGACAGAAAAGCATGTGATTTCAGTGAGACTATTTTCAAAGCAAGTTTAGAAAAAACCCATGACTCCACATTTGCAAAAGTGTGCCTGAACTCATAGCCTTTCCCACCACCTCAAAAATTAGTTTTAAACACCAAGTCTCCAACTACAAACTGATTTGGCATATTTTAAGTTAACAAATCTAGTGATACAATAAGCCATTATTGCTTCAGATTTTGTAATTCAGAGATTTCTTTATCATCTACTGGAGGGTGAAAAAAAACCAGTGTGCCTTGCTATGAAATAACTCATCATACTTGTGATGTGAACCTTTATATTCATTATTATCTAATCACATATCAGCACCTCAACAGCTACAATCCACTGTCCCTTCAAAAGCACTTTAAGCAAGGAAACAGACCTTAGGTTCTTGATTTGGGGCCCAATTAAATCTCAAAGCCAAGAAATATTAATATGAACTTCACAAGAAATAGATAAACAAAAAAGCAGCTGAAGCTGCCTGTAGTAGCATGTTTTGAAAGATTTAAATAGTTCCCCTTGAAAACAGGGATTCAGTGACTCAGGAACTCTGATTCACCCATGTCCTCCCAGTTATCACCACAACCATAAGAAAGTAACCTGTGACATTTCTATTCATTACATACCTCCCAAGAGTTTTATTTAAGAGCTCTGACAGGTATACTGACAGGAAGGACAGAGGCTACACCCTCCTGCTCAGCAAGGTCAGGAGAAAGCTACAGCTCAGCTTTGCTACAAGGAACACAGAGCAAGAAGCTGCTTTATGTCCACACTACCCCCTGCAAGAACACAGGACTGTCACGACCTTGCTCTACATTAGTGTCTCTATCATCCCTCAATAAAACCACTGCAGTAACCTTCATTCAGAAGGTTTCTACTCTTTGGGTTGGGTAATTTAAATGAACACTGAGAATAACCAAAACTGTAACAGCAAATAGCGATGACTAATAATGAAATATATGAACTTTTTCAGAAATACTACAGGAATTCTGCCTAGCAATTTTAACCATTTCCTATAAGGTAAAGGTTGGAAGGATGTTTTGATGGCATCAAGTGATTACACCATAAGGTTTTCTGCAATTTATTCAAAGGTAGTAGTATCAGACTGGGAAAAAGACCATGAGGTACTAGAAGACCCTAACAACTGATTTTCTCCAGTTTCTTTTCCTTGAAGGAAAGTAATCAAGAGGGGCAAAAGGAGAGTGATACAAAGTGAATTCAAATGAACTATATGACTTACCTTGAAAAAACAGCAGCACACTTCTGCTCACAAATTTTAGTCACAACTTCTTGTTTGCTTGAGTGTATTTAGAACTTTAGCAGGTGTGAGTAATTAAAATAATGCAACTACTGGTATAGTTGTGTGGTTAAATTATGCCAATCTACAACTGCGTTGCCACCAAATGGGATGGACCAACACTGAATACAGTTGTCTCAGAATGTATACACACTAGCAAGCACCTCCAGCTCAGGACAAAGTTCTATGAAAGAGCTAAGCCAATGTAAAAGTTGCCAGCTGCCCTAAGGGAGGTCTCACTCTCCACTGCCTTCCTCTAGCCTTCTGGCAGTGAAGTTTCCTCTCTCTACTCCCCATAAGCTTTATTAGGTTTCACAGCCACTGAGATGCTGACACAACTCACTAACCTGGCAGAGAACCATCCAGTCTCCTCTGCCAGGGCACCCAGCACACTGAAGGATCTAACAACACACGTCAGAGTCACCAAAAAACCCGTGGGAGAAGCAGCCAGCGACAAACTGGCAGCAGAGGCAGGAGCAAAGGAGAGAAGAACAGGAACTCCAACTTCTGCCAAGGGTAAGCCATTCAACCAACCTTCCGACTTCCTCTACATCCCAGATACCACAGGATTGCTAAAGCTGATACAAGGAGGAGGCGTGAACATACAGCCAGAGAGCAGAGGAAGAGCAGTACTATTTCCCTCAACATCCAGAGCTCACCACAGAGCCACAGGCACTTGAGATATGAGCTCGCCATGGGACAGGATGGGCACAGCAGTGACACATCATGTCACGGAGCTGTTTGTGTTTCCACCATCGAGCAGGGTAATACCAGGCACAGAAACTGGGTGTATGTAGGCACAGACCAGCCACACATCCCAAAGAGAGGCACAATTATGTTGATTAGATACAACGGTGTAAAATACACATTTGGGTAAAAACATAAGGAAAGACTGAGAGAGATGATGCCTGACATAAGCAGAAATAACCCTACAGCAACGATAGACAACTGGTCACTCGACTGGGGAAAAACAAAGGAGTGTGTGCCTTGCTCTGACAACAGGAAGTAAGACGATACCGAGCTTGTTTGCTACTGGCACCCCAACAGTGGCCACACCGAACACGGACCACGCAACAGACGCAGGCAGGAAACGCTGGGAACTGAAGTGTGAGCACAGCTCTGAAGAACCGAAGACAGACCACCAAAGAGCTGACCTCCTGAGCCCGAGTCTCAGCTGACATTGCTTCGGCTGACCAGCATTCCCCGCACCAGCCGCCCGCCACCATTCACCCCATCTCCTCAAAGGCGTGACCCCAGCACCGCTCCCTGCTCACCGCGCTGCCTCCGCCCGGGCCCAGACCCCGCTCACTGCCCAGCCATTCCCACGTACCGCACACGCTGCCCCTCTTCCTTGCACTTCCCACACGCCCGTCCCCTTCCTCCTCAGAGCCCCCACACCGCGGCAGCAGCCACACAGCCCCTGCCTGCCCCTCCACGCAAGGCCGGCTGCCCACAGCTCGCCAGCACCTGTCACCCCCAGCGCCCGCACAGCCCGGCCCGCGCCGCACACCCCCGGCCCCGCTTCCTGTCCCCCGGCACGACCCCGGCCCGGCCCTTCTCGGCGGCACCTGAAGCGCGGCGAGTCCTTTAGGCACTCCTCGAAGTCCACGGTCACCTTCATGGTGGCGGGGCGCGCCGCTGCCTCCGCTGCTGCGGCTGCTGGCGGTGGTGCGACTGACGGCCCGGGCAGCCAGCAGCGACCGCCCGCGAGGGCGGGGGGCGCCTCGGCCAATCACAACGCTAGAGAGGAGGGCTCAGTAGGCAGAGCGCCCAATAAGCGCGGCCGCTGGGAAGACACAGCCAACCGCCGGCACCGCAGCGATTGCTCCCGCCCCAGCGAGCTCAGAGTGACAGCCGGGGCCACCAATGGGTAGGCGGCCACTCCAATCGGCAGCTCCGTCGCCGCGGCTGCCCGGATCGCTGCGGCCGCAGCCCGGCCCGGCGTTCGCCGCCGTGACGCTGCCTCGGGCGGGCCGGGCCGTGTGGCGCCGGGCCCTGCTCAGCCGGTTGTCGGTACCTGCTTGGTGATTTTTAAATTAAGCTCTTCACTAAACGGGGGGATGTCTCCCTCGGGGCTGAGACACGCGGGGGGCCCGCGCGGGCCCCTGAGCAGTTGTACCGGGGCCAGAGCGGCCGCTGCCGTCAGCCGGGCCCTGCCGTCAGCCCGGCCCAGCCAGCCGCGCCGCGGAGCGGGTCGGGCCGCGGGACGGGCACTGCTCCCTGCGGAGCGGGGCACCAGCGGGAAGAGAGCTCCAGGCCCGCGTGCTCTCCTGTGTGATTCACTTCTAGACAGAGGAAATAACTCGTGGAGGAGACTCAAAGCAGTCTTTGAAGGAGAAACGCAAACCGCAGGTTTTCCTGTCAAGGACTATCAAGTGTGCACGCTTGGGTTTCTTACCGAACCTTTGTCCGAGAATATTTTTTGAACTAGAGCGGATTATATTTTGAAGTAGAGTGACACAGAGTGAACAGGACCATGTTGCAGTCTCCAGTTTGCAGTGAAGGACAGCAGAACATTGTAGATTTCTGATCGTTTAAGAGAATACAGAAAAATCTCTTAACCAGTTAGGTGCTGCTTAATGTTCCCAGATGTAAAACTGACAGACAGGAGCACCAGCCATCCCCACTCCTCAAAAGCAGCGGCAGAGAAGTCGAAGTTGCTATCCAAGTTAGACTTGCCGAAGATGAAGCAGTCACACGTCACAGGCTCCATCCCGCAGTCCCAGGGACGGTGCTGAGAAGCTGGCAGAAGTAGATGGTGCTCACTCTTGCCTCCTCCTGGGGTCTGAGGAGCTGCCATACCTGCTTCCAGTGAGCCCCCTTACCCTCTGCAGCTTTCACACCCTCCCTCACCCCAGCATCTGCACTAAGTTTCACCTCTTGTTTTATCTCTTTTGTTTTTTCATATTCTTCCCATTCTCTCTCCCCCACTTTCTTTCAGCGTTACCCTCCTGTCAACATGGCAGGAGGGGAACATAACTTCTTTCCAAGAAGCTGGCCGTCTGCTGTACCCTTACTGTCCCTTCCTCAGTTAAGGTGTCCTTTCACAGTAGCAGAGGGACACTTGGTTCAGTCAGTTGTGATTTAGGATGTCAGTTTTTTTTTCCTAAGACTAGTGAAATGTCAGAACCAAACTACAAGTTACACAGATGTAACAACTGTATATTTTTGTGAGCTGTCCCTCACCAAAACTAACTACCACTATTTTGATTAGGCATTCAAGTCACACCTGCTCAGGAAAAGCAGCATGTTAATATTTGTATCACTGGGGCTGCAATTATGTTGTGAAATCCACTTTTCAACTGAAGTATGAAATTGAAAAGAGCCCAGCTCTGTTTTGAGGAAGAGTTTTACTTCCTAAGAAATATCTGCTGTTAGTCATTTTCCACTACTCCATGCTTGTGAGTGATGACTCAGTGCTGACCATGAAGACACAGATCAGTTGTGCTTAAATACTACAACACACAAAGAAAAACACCTTGAAAAATGCAACTTTTTCTGTGGTACTATCTTAAGTTCATGACTTAGGTTACCAGATGTACCCTCAGGTCTAGGCAAGCCACCAAATCTGATTGTATGAACAAACCAATTTACATCAAAGTTACAATAAATGAGAGTCATGAGGAAATTACAATATTGGTTTAAGAATTTATCTATGAACACACCTGCAAATTTTAGCTGCCAGTTTCTTCTGAAGAGCTCCAAGAAGCCAAACATTAGTATTAGTGTCATAAGGTAGTAATGAAAACAATGGTTTTATTTATGTTGTGACACTTAACACTGGTTTCAAACAAAATAATTACATGGGTAAGGTGGCATCATAATACCACAAAAAAGCATGTTACAGAAACAAAGAGTTCTGATAAGATGTACAAGTTTCACATGAGAGAGTGAGCTGTGGAAAAAGTATCTGTGGTTTCCATTAATTGTACAAGTTGGTGGGAAAGAAACTATGGACAGAAAAAATAAAACCTATACACATGAGTTAAGGCTCTTATTTGTAAGTGATCTTCCTACTGGAAGCATATTGAAAATGCTTTCTCTAAAGAGGATGCAGCTTGAGGACTTAAACCTGTGCAAGAAGATTCACAATTATGGTGCTGTGGAGCTCACTGTCCAATAAGTAAGCGCTGTGTTTGTTTCCTCTACACCACTCTGTATTGTACACGAGTATTTACCATATGCACCTAAAGACTAAGATGTGCAAGCAAGCTAAGTCCTCATCAAATGCAAAAAGAGAAAACACATTTCTTCGCTTGTCCCCATTCAGCAGGGAACTCTGATATTTCTCAAACAGAGGGAAATCAGACATCCTTTTGTAAAAAAGCTATATGGAGTTTCTGGAGCCACTGCAAAGTAAAACTTGCCCAATTTAGCTTTTAAAATGCATCAAGGTGTAAGCAGAGAAAACCAAGTAAACCAGCCTTTCAGTTAGAAGCAATGTCAGGGATATTGGATTGCACTTCTGCTGAGGAAGACAAAGAAGCACCGTGAACAGAATTTTTGTGAGCACTGAGGAAAATGCAGAGAACAGAGCCTTTAAAAAAAACCCTAACTAAATCGAGTTTCAAAGTAGCATCAAACTTGGAATTCAGGTGCTTGGTGGCACAGGAAAAAGGGAGATCACCCAAGCAGTTCAAAATCACCTGAGTGATGAAGGGACCTACTATACATTATGTGGTTTATTTACAACCATCGTCATGCATTTGTGTACCTCCCTCAAGGATACATACTCCTTTCATTTAGGATTTTGGAAGCCATGACAAGAAAGGTCTTCATTGGAAGTTAGCAAAGTTTGTTTGTTTACTTTGTAAAGTACAAAGCCCTGGTGAGCACCAAATGGCCTTGGACACAAGAAAGTGGGGAGTTAAGGAGAGCAGGACATTAGCTCAGGTAAGATCTGCTGCTGCTGCTGGATTCTACCTTAATTGCAGGTACAAAGTACCCGTGGGTACTCAGCACAAAGTACAAGTGACATGTTCCACAGCTCACAGAGCACACTGGTGTTACCTGCACACACTGCTCACCATGTCCATGCTCAGTCTGACAGCGACAGGGCTTTGCTGAGCACTGCCATGCTCTCAGCAGGATTTCAGTGCCCAGCTGGGGCAGGCCAGGCCAGCAGCTACTCAGTCTGAAATACAGCTCAGTGCACACAAGCCAAAACTCTGAACACTGCAAGCTGGTTTATAAAAGGTACAAACCTAAAGTTCTGAAATGCTATTCTTAGGAGCCAAACTGAAAGCTACAGTAAGTGACTTGACAAGTCAGAAGTATCTAAATGCTTACCCTTTGCCCCTGTTTACTCTATGCAAGTGACCACATTTAATACAAGAAGAAATAGCACTCTGCATGTTGAAAAACTAGCATTACCACACTGGCCAGAATCAAGAGTTCAACTCTTGTAGAAGACCCTACTAATCTCGATTCAGGACCTTAGAAATTAACTAACCCAAAACTGATCACCCTGTTACCTACTGAGGAGAGGAGATAGTTGGGAAAGGCACACTACAAAACACACTTAGCACAACTCACAGATATCTTTGGCAATGCATCCAGTCTAATGAATCATTCCTGTAAAAATCTCAAAGGACAGCATCCTATTGCCTTATTCACTCTCAATATTTCTGGGACTCCAGGAAAGCTCACACTTGAGAATGCATGTAACTGTAAAATAACTTTCATTCCTTTATTCAAACTTCACATATACAGTGGAGAAAAAGACATTTTAAAATAGATCCATATAATTATATGGATTTTTGCAACATATCAAATTCAGATCAAAATTAAGATATACACTGTATTTCATAACCAAGCTAAAGCTTAAGTGTGTACTTTGTTTGTGTAATAAAACCAGGAACTACTCTGAATACTGGAACATTCACCAGTCAAATTCCACGCAGTGGGAAGTTTTTACAGCAATTTGGAGGTGCAGAATCCCTCTTTACAGCTATACAACCACACAGTAAACAAGTATTTGAATTAGGCAGTTTCCCTTCTAGCTTCCAAAAAGCCTTCATTTTACAAAAGCAGTTGCTGCAAGTTGCAATGGACACAGGAAGATTTAGACCAGTGGTTTTCAGTATGGAAGTTGACAACCCCAAAAGAGTAGATCAACAGCAATTATCTTTAATAAAGAACAGCCAGAGCCTAAGCTCAGCACATCTTCAGTCCTGATGTATATTTCCTCGTGGCTGGGTGTTTTTCCTCAGGTGCTAACAGCGCAAACAACTGTTCATGCAACTGGAAAGAACCAAACGTTTGAAACAAGAGCCAGAAGAGTAACAGTGGATGTGATTTTAAGAGAAAAGCTGGAGGGAATTTTTGTGTTCTCACAATAAGCCAGAGAGAGCTCCACAAACCAACCAGTCCTGATGGAAGAGGTTATGACAGTTAAATGCAAAGTTCAAATTAGCCGTTTCCAGTGTAAAAACACTCCCTCCACTAGATGTTAGTACTGCTTTAGTCAGAAACTAACAACCGACTGCAAACACCGCTCTTAAGAAATAACACAGCTCTTGTTCTAAAGACTGGGAAAGTGCAGGCAAAAACGTACTGAAATCTAGATTAACAGGTCAACACTTTACAAAAAAAAAGTTGTAGGACTTGAATAATCCCTTTTTAAACTGCTTAACACATCTGATAAATAGCTTACATGTCAATCTGATATACGCTGTACTGTTTGGCTCTTGAATCCCAAAACTTTGCATATGAGACACCACATCTAGAACACTCTCAAATAAATAGTGTAAAACCAAAAGATAGTGAGTGTTTCAAAGCAAGAGTAACAGTACATCACGCAAGATAATCAGCGCTATACATACAGGGAATGCCATTCTGGTTGAACAAATTATGAAGCAGTATTCTCCATGAAATACTAGGCACAAGAATAAATCAATTAAGACAGTGTTTTCTGCCTAATGGACAAGTCTAAAATTAACATTCTTGGCAATACGACATTGTAACTGATATGCTTCTTAACATTTAAGAGCCTTAATTGCAAAAATCATGAAGCGATGTTTATATTTGTGTCTTTGACAAGCAGTTACAGTTCTGGACAGATTTCTTCTATGCTGTGTGCTCCACTTTCCAGCTGGTCACGAGTAACATGTGCTGCATAAGAAAGATTATAAAAAATAGATAATTCTTCACACCCATTCAGTATTTTCACAACACACACAAATATCCTCCTCAAACCATCTTTGCTTCTCCAAAGATAATGTTTGCCAACCCATCTTAGCAATGTATAAGCTTTTAGTTGTAGAGTACAGAAATGTCTAAAACAGTTATTTGACCGTCATGCTCTAAGGAGAAGGCCAGCACCACTGTTGTGCACACCAAGCACTGTGTGCTCAGCCCCCCAGAACTGGGAGGATTTAACTCAGGTGCTTAGAACTAACAGATAAGGTTCCTGAAACACCAGCAAACATAGTACTTGCCACATCATGAGGCACTTGAAATAAAAAACCCCCAAGTTTATACAGGAAGGAGTACAGTTGTGTGTTTTCAGGAAGTTGTTAACTCATGCTTTTGAGCAAAAGCACTGCAATAAATCAGAGCAAACTCCTCCTCAGTGCTGATCAAAGAATACCTCATCAAAATGATAATATTCTTTTTAAAAAGCCAGTTAGGCTTGGGCATGAGTTAGATTTGGTAACAAGAGTTTAACAAGCAAAAATGCACAGTTAACCAGTTAACCAGCAGAGCTGATTGCTGTGTGCTCCCAGCCTTCTCACTTAATTCATCTTTAGGGTGATGCTTGCCCTGGTTAAGAAAACATATTCTGTATCTACCAAAGGCCAAAGGGCACACCCAGTCAGTGACAGCTCAGCTGCTGGGTGCCATCTGAGCAGGGTTAGCAGAGCAATGCAGCTAAATGAACCAGAGGAAGAGAACAATAGTCTTACTGCTTGTCAATTGAACTGCTATAGACAACACCCTCTGGCTGATACTTTTGTGTAGCAGAAGACAGGTCTGCACTGAAATCATCATGCTTAAATTTACCTACATCAGGAATATTTCCTTCAGTGATTTCAAAGAGCATTTCTAAAGGGAAAATTTTTATGGAGAGAAACAAAGGTCACTTCTGCTGGCAAAGTCTATTTATGTTATTCATGGAGTCATAAATAGCAAGTAGCCAGAGAAGGTGAAATGCTGAAGCAAGAAAATTTAGAATCATAGAATGGTTTGGGTTAGAAAGAACCTTATAGGACATCCAGCTCCAAGACCCCTGCAACATGCAGTCTATTACAACTTATACTTTCTTTTCCACAAAAGAGCTTGGCTGCTGGAATCCATACACATGGCTACTTGAGGCAAGAAAGGAATGATCCACCCATTTAAAACACTTGGTAGCCACAATGGAGACAGGAGCAAAAATATACAAAGAGTTCTCACCATCACTGACTGGACTGGCCATCTTCATTTCAATCAGCAAGAAATCTCAGTCTGTAACCAAGAAGTGCAACTTGTATTAGTGGACCTGGTAGTACCTGACAGGAGCCTCCTTAAACCTGCTCTAAGTCTTTAGCCCATTCTTGGAAAGCAGAGTGTAGAGACTAGAAGTGTATGGTTAGTTTTACTCAAATACAAACCAGACAGAATTAGAGGGTAGAAAGAAACATCAGATAAGAGAAGCACAGAATCTGTAAGGGTTCTTCCTGGATAGAAAAAATTCCAAGTGAGAAGAGGTTCTCAAATTGGCTGAAAAACAACCCAGGAGCCAGTGGAACCCCAGAGTCACAACTGACCACTAAGAAATGCCTCTTATGTCACATCTTTACCTGCAACAATCATCAGTACTACAGAAGTCATGTTACTCCATTGGAATAAAAGGACATTGCATGGCAGCTCTTGCTCACATAGACTGACTGGCATAATAGCTGAGTGGCAGCCACATCATCTCATGATCTCCACAACTTCCCAAGAACTCAAGTCAAATGGAAGAATTTATAAAAATATAGCTACAATACGACATGCAGAAAACCCAGGACATTTTCATTGAAGTTAAAAGCAAGCATCAGTGCTGTTAGTCAGTTTAACAGAGTGATGCCAAATAAGCTATTGCAAAAATCAACTCCTGTATCAGCCAGTACAAGAGTAAGGAAACCCTCCCTTTTCTGCTCTAGACAAAAGCATTTTAAAATACAATTTCAAGTCAAAGAGCTCTTTCAAAGTTATCCAGGTGAATAATCTTTCTATATACTGTTCTCAGGAACATGAATATTAATAGGATTTTGATTTCCTTCTGCAAAGGAAACAGCCCAATTTTTAAATATTCAAGTGCTTAATGTAAAAGCACAGCATGAACAAAAGTACAGTGACCAAAACCACAAGTAGCAAGTGTTAAAGCCATCTATTTGAGAAACCTTCTGTAGCTCCAATTAACATTTATGAATAAGGAGATTCTTCTGTGGCCTCAGAATACAGATGAAAGCAATAAATAATGTAATCTCAAAAAAGTTATTTCAGTAAAACTTTGACATTAACACAGCTGTGTGCTGAACATTTCTCATCTCAGTGTAGGAATTTCTTAAAATGTGGGCAGTGACAGAAGACTGGTTCATTAACATTTTTGTTCATATCCCATCATCCTTTGCCCAACCCTGTCTCATAATCCATCTGAGGGCATTCAATTCACCACCTGCTACAAAAGTGAGACCAGTACTTAACCTCAGAAGAACTGATCAAGGACAGGGATTAAAGGCTGTGATGGCTGATATAGCGATTAGGAGATAACAAAACATGAAGGTTTAAGCAGAATGATAGAGAAGTGAAGAATTGAGAACTACATCAGCTTAATGGAAAGCATTTCTATATGCTATGGTGTGGAGGTAAACCAGTTAGTTAACGGGTTGCTACACTGGCAGACAGTTACATTTATGGAATCTATTAGCCATGAGCAGTCTAAAATTGATAATTACCAGTTGTGGCTCTGAAGCTGGTTATGAGGAAGGTGGAATGGACTTCAACAATAGAGATGGAAAAATGCTGCAAAGGTCTGCCTTCTTTCCAGTGGTGAATGCAGCTGGGGAGCGGAGTTGCCTCCGTTTTACAGCAGAGTGCAGAGAGATGGCAGCTTCAGGCCATGCAGAAGGCTCATACGGTTGGCTATTGCAGCCCTCCTTTCCCCTGGAGAGTGAAGTTCTAGTAAATAGCCATTATAAGGCCTATGTTCAGTTACTGGATAAAGTCAGTCCAGTAATGGGTCTCAGACACATATACCAAATGACCCTTTCAGAGCAATTGTGAAGGAATTAGTCCTCCTGTAGTAAATAACAGGATGAAAATGTGCAATCTACAGAACTTAAACACGCAACTTTGCAAATCTCCTTTTTATTGCGTGGGATATAAATTAATTTTAGATGAGCTCCTAGTTCACATGGTTGTGAAAAGCAGATGTGAACCAAGTTAAACCCATGCAGCATCTTCCCAAATCTGCAGACCATGCTAATGTCTCATAGCTTTGCCAACCACAGATGAACAAGGCTTACAGACTTCACTGCCACCAGTCTCATGAGCAACAGATGTATGGTTTATGTCAAAAATTTATTCAAAGTGCTGTTACATAAAGAGGTGGGGAGTGAACTGTAATTATTCACCAGAATACCACTGCAGAAGTCTAAGACTTTTCACCCAGAGAGAAGTTTAAAGATGAAAGAGAAGGTGTCAGCCTCTATAGCTTTAGGAGTTTCCTATGAAGAGACAGCCCTGAAACAGGTTCCAGCAACAGTTCCCACTTAAACATCCCAGACTTTCTTCCAGTAGCTGCACTGAGAGTCTTACCCCATACAATAGCAATGAACATTTCTGCTCAAGGACAAGTCTGTATTGAAGGCCTAACAGCAGTTTTACATTACAGTGTTTTTCCTCAGGAAGATAAATACAGTCCTTCCAACAAGGAGGAAACATTGATGGTAATCTCCCATTGCTGGCTACAGGATGGATTGGGAGCAGAATAGGAAATGACCCACAACAAAAAGCCAGGCTCTACCATGTGGCCATTAAAGTGTTCGGTACAAGACAGATCCTCCTTTAAAAGGGATGCTGGCAACTTCACTACCCAAAGTCAGTTACGTTGGGGAAATGGTAAGAAGCGGAAATGTTTGTTTTTCTGTTATGCCACAACAAACAAAAGCCTACATGCTGTTTGTCAACACTGAGTTTTTGTTCCATGCTACAAATCTACCTATCAAGACAGAGTGCAACCTTACTCATGGAGTGTTACATACATACTGTACTCCTTCTAATCATCTCACACCTGAGTATATTCATTTCCCAACAGCTCAAAGGGCCACCAGTACTTACAGGTGCTTTTTAACTAATCAGTAGCTCACCATGTTCGGTAGCTTCTGTATTCATTGTTTCTACATCTGCAGCATCACGCATCTCTTCATCCTCATCATCTTCCTCTTCTTCACCATGTAGTTCTTTTGCAATGAGCTGCCTTGCCAGCTTGATGTTTCTTCCTTCATTGTAGTGCATTTTTCTCTTCATTTCAAACTGTTTCTTTTTCTCTGTGGGCAAACAAATGAAAATAGTTGTTCCTTCCCTTAAAAAAAAAATTAACATATCTTCTTCGAAGAGGAACTCACCGAATAAAAATTATTGTCTTCAAGCAGTGGAATGTTCTTTTAAAATGAGTCTGACTTACAAAAAGGATAATAACTGGAATCTCATAAGCACTTTTATAAGAACCTGTCTGCAACTAAGAGCAAGTCTGAACCAAGAGAAGCATCTGGTAAAAGTACACAAAACTCCAAAGTTTCACAAGCCTTGTTTCTAAGTAAACTCAAGGACAAATTGAGACATACTGCTGGAATAGAAGATGAACTTTTGCAGATGTGTGGTTTGACTCCTGGCTAGCCACCAAAGGTCAGTTATGAGAGATATATTTACCACATGTAGAAGAAAATATTTTCCACTTTCCTCATGGCCTGAAGCCAGCTCTGCTCCATATATTAAACATCAGCATATCCAGCAGTAATGTATTGTAACTCAAGTAAATTTTGCTTACTGCCAGCCCCAGCGCTTTGCTCTTCTCCTACCTTGAGTATAGCAAGGTTTCACACTCAAAGTTAAAGCCAGGCAATTTGAGAAGCACCAGCTAGATAATACAAGCCTGAAACCTTAGAAGTATTGCTCTTTCACTGTTCCCTGAAAACATTCTAGTCCAAGTTAACATGAAACAACATCTCTGTTAAAGATGCTATTTGTTTGGAATAACTGTAGACTTCCTAGTCCATCCATCCACCAATTGCTTTGAGAACTACAAAAATATAATCTGTACATTTACAAGCAATTAGCAGCATTTTATTTGTAGTTGTACTCATTTAATTACATCTACCTGAAATATGTTCAATTTAAGAACTATTCCTTCAACCCCAAACCAGAACTTCTTATTTGAGGTGTTTTAGCAAGAATTCCCATATCTTAAGCTTGTATACAGGGAGGCAGCCAACAACAGCAAATTCCTGTTTATGTGTAGATCCCAAACCAAACATTCTGACTAGAAACAAGCAGTGTATTTGTTCAAACACTATTTATCTTTATTTTCAAATCACAACATTTTTCTGATAGCACTTCTTCTTTGCAAATATTTCTTACAGAAAACCTGAAACTATTTGTAGGAAAAGAGTCTAAACAAAAGAAAGAAAACAACTTATGCCTACCCCGTTCTTCAGGTGTTAATTCTTCATCCTCATCCTCCTCCTCACTGCTTTCTTCTTGCCTTGCTATAATCTTGGGCCCTCTACCTTCAGCTGCAGCTGCCAGTCTACATAAATCATGCAATACAAAATGCTGAAACAGCAAGTTTTTCACTATTTAAAATACATGACATTTCAGAATACTCATACAAGCAGCTTTGTTTATTATTTTTGCCATATTTGTATGTAGTAACAACATGCAAGAGGTTTGAATTACCAGTAGCACTATCAAACACTGAAAACCACCTAATCTGACAATAGCAAAAATGCAGCTTCTAGAGAAACCCTCAACAGCTTTCCAAAAAGAAAATCTACCCCAGGAAAGAGCAGATTATCTTCACATTTAGTCAGTTTTTATTATTATAATACTTACTTTTTACTCAACACATCTGCTCTTAAGGGCTCATATTCTGAATCACTCACTGGATCCTCATCATCTTCTCCTCTCATGCTTGGAGGGCAAACAAAAAGTAGCCTCTTTTAGTAATTTGCTTGACTTTGTAGTTTGCTCAAGAAAACAGGCAAAACCTTACAACACTCAGTTAAAAGACTCCTTTAATGCTTTAAAAGCTTTCCAAATCAACTTTAAATATTGATACGACATTATATTCTAGTACTGAAAAAAAATTAAATCAGTAGAAGTCAGACTTATTTATTCCACTCAAAGGCTAAAGCCTGCTAGAACAAACCTCTCAGACTGTTCTCCTTATTTAGAAGCTTTGTAGATCTGAGTATGTTGCATACACCCAGCAGGCCTGCACAGTAATACTACATCACCCACAAAGTAAATTTGGCTCTAAACCCACAATTCCACCTGGCAGCACACAGACCAACACTAGAGCAAGCGTACCTGTGGTAGGGAGTACTTGGCTCATCAATTTTCATCAAGCCATAATCTTTGCCTGCAGGGTGGTATGTAGCTATGATGTTCATTTCATCCCACTTCTGGGATTTTTTACTGAAATATAAAAAGAAAATTGAATTTTCTTATATTCTAAAACAACTAGTTCTGCTTTACCAGAGAAGGAATTTTTAAAACATCATCTGATCTCTACTACATACTAAGCACAAAAAATAGTTATGACATACATGTTCAAAGTATGACTATTAAATACTGCTCTGTACATACTTAAGTCATAACAAATTATCAGTGCAACTTCATTGCCCTAAAAAGCCACAATAGCTAAACAAACTCAATTATCTATAAACATATTCTTATTAATATAATTCAGAGACTCCTGGTCTTGTTCAATGACTGTCTTGTGAACTGTTTGATTTTACAGTAACTTGTAAAAAGAGAATTCTTCTCCTTATTGCAACCCACAAGACTTCAACAAAACCCCATACCTTTGAGTTCACCTCTGCTGAAGGAGCTGGAATGATTATTAGCAAAACTGTTACATAAACAGTAGCTACCAACAAATCCCCTCCTGCAGTGAAATAAGTAGCATAGAACAAGCTGATTATTAATACTGCTTTTGTCATCCTAAATTGGAATAATAAGCCAAGTGATTCACAGCTATAATTAAGCCGAGGGAGTTTCACATTTTATACAGACAGGCACCAGTGAGGCTACATTATCTAGAATTTTCTTAGTCAACCAGAAAATGTACCGTTTTATGTATATTTGAAGAAACTAAAGCTCACCCACCACAAAATATATAAGCCACCAGAAAAGCAATTGCCTTGTGGCCAGAGAAAGAGCCATTCCCACCCTGATCTAAAAGCCAGAAAAAATGTTTAATCAACACAAACCACCATGTTCCACATTTTCTCTAAAAACGTTACTGCAAACTTCATAGAAGGTGGTCTTTTCCTTAGGTTAAGCCAGTAAATTCAATTTCATAATAATACAAAAATTGTACTAATTCATATATACTTGTTGTAAATTATTAGTTAAGGAAGCAAACATTACATGACTTCGTGGGTTTTGTGGGGGTTTTTGTTTCTTTGGGGTGGTTGTTGTTTGGGTTTTTTTGGGGGGTGGGAGGGGGCAGTTGGCTGGAAGATTTCCACTAACTGCTCTTGTTCAAACACAGACCGCTCCAATAACAGATCTGAAAGATATATTCAATCTCAATAACACAAGTGCTCTTAGGCAGAATAACATCTGTAAAACAAACTTGATAAAGCAAGATTCCAAGCACAAAGTACATTCTACATTTACAGGATAACTACATAATACAATGTGAGAGAAAAAAATCTAAAGAGAGAAAAAAAAAAGATGTGGGGGTTGATGCTGAATCCTACATGCCACAGGCTTACACTCTAGAAATTAATACAAATTGAATGATCTCAATCCCCTCAGCACACAGCAGCCAGTGCCAAGGTCTCATGTTCGAGGCTTCAGGTCCATTTAATCATTTTGTGCAAACACAAGGACTGCAGCATAAGCGGACAACACGTGAGTCAGATCGTGGCTCTGGCAGGGCGGGGAGTCATGAGCTTCATGATGACAAAGCAAGAGCTCTGCTCTAGGAATGCCACTCATTCAAAACTGCCTGGTTAGGAGTCGAAAAATCCCCAGTTTACCCAGTTTAACACAGCCTAAAGTTCTTCCATGACCAACACAAGATGCTCATTATGTTGCACAGTGAGGAATTTTACCAGCCAGAGCACTTAGACAATGGTACATAGGGTACACAGCCGCTGTAAAGAGACAGAGCTCAGCTGACAGGGAAATCCAACAGATGGGAGACATTCCCTTCACATGCCTTGTGCTCACTTGCCCAGAGCACATCGAGGTTTATAGCCCAGGCTCACAACTCCACCTAATAATAATACTGGCAACCTTGGAACAATCCCTTTGGCATGCACTGTGCTGGAAATCAGACAGCCCACACTGAGCAAGTCAGTGAGTCATGAATAAAAGACTGAACAAGTTTTTAGTGGCTTAGCTTTTCACACTTATTTTTTTAAACTCAGATTCCAACACTAAAAGCCTTGGCTGTGAAACACCTCCCAAAGCACAACTTGAAGTTCACCTAGGGGGGAAAAAAGTCATTAGTGGCAAAGAGACAAACATGTCATTTCACTCCTGCTTTTAAAAAGCCCTCCCAGGAGAATGACTAAGTGCTCTGAAAACCCACACCTCCCCTGGTTGTTTCCAATTTTGCATGCTTAGGCATGTCTGCACAGCACAACACTAATGACATGGCTTAGGACCATCAAAGAAAAATGCATCCTGACACCCCTTCAGACACAGAAATAGGAAATCTAATCTTCCTTAGGAAAATGAGATTTGAAAAATCTCGTAAGTGCTCATTTCTATGTTCTCACATCTTTAAAAATATACAACAACTTCACTTGACGTCACACCAGTTGGTGTGGACAGACAAGAAGTTTCAGCAGCAGTAACAGCCAAGGAACACTTCTCACACCTCCCTTGCTCTTGCCATAGCAGACTCACCTCTTCCAACACAGCTGCTTGTGCACACACACACTTCCACAATTCCTTCGTAAAATATCACATCTACTCGCTCACATGCTCTTACGGGGGTCTGAAGGCAAAAAATACACTACCCCAGTGTGTATGCCAAGAACACATCTGCCACTAAACCACAATCTCAGCTCTTAGGATGCAGTTCCAGTGGTGTCCCAATCTCTCAAGCTTCCTTCTTGCATCATATTTTCATTAAGGAAATTTTCCAAACAATGTTACCATCACTAAGAGCAGCACAAGGTCAGTAATGATGCAAGTACATGAGAGCTCTGAACATCGTGCTTTAAAAGATGACAGCTGACACAATGAGCTCTTTCATCTACAGATATTTTTAAAGATCTTCAGACCTGATTTTCAATATTAGAAATAAGCAGAAGAATTAAGAAAACAGCTACGTGAATTTATTAACTAATCTTCAGTCTCAAAGGAATATCACAACTGTACTGCTTATCATTCTTCTAAAACCAAATTTGTTTTGCTGAAATCAGAAATACCACTGATATATTGATACATTGGCAACCAAAAATAATACCTGCACAGAAACCAGCTTTATATACCCTGTACTGATCTTTCCAGGAAATTTTCTAATGCAGCCTGCCAGGTTTAGCCAATATCTTTCAACTTGCAAGGCAATTTCAGAATTAATCTGACTTTATTGGCTGATGTTGATAAATAGGAAATAGAAGCTGGACTCTAGCCCACTAACTACTTCCCAAGAAATTACTGTGTGCAATAACCAATATACCATACACTCATCATTCATACTCCAATTTCTACTCATTTTTCAAGATGGTACAAAAGAAACTGCAGAAAATTAAACACAGGCTACTAACAGCCAGTTGTAATTTATGTCTGGTGTGGTGCTAAACACATCAAGCTCCATATTAGAGCTAAGGAAAAGAAAAATCACATTTGTGTAACATACTGCTACTTACCTGTTTAAAAAACATCATCTCATTCATTCAGTTGACTTTTTTCTCCGGAAAGCAGGAGCAGCTAACACAAGCAACACTGCAACCAAAAAGCTCTTCTTTCTTACCTTCCTGACTTTAGACTACATTCATGACTTAACTAGGCAAAGATGAAAGGAGTATTACCATAATAAAAAAAAACCGACCAGCATGACCATGTCGTTTTATCATTACTTCTCTCCTTGCAATACTGAATAAGGTGCCAAAAAAAGAAAACTGTCCAAAGCAAATTTGTAAAGACTGAGTTCAGGTCAAACCTTGCTCATCATAACTTGATGGAGAACCAGAGCAAGGGCAAGCAGCACATGCTGGGAGCATCAGGAAAAGTGTAGGATTCTTAGCCATCAAGGACAGGTGCTGGCCAGCTGAAGACCACTTCTGGCATATCTGGACTAACTAGGCATGTTACAATTAAACCAAGATTTTCATGCACAAACCACAAGGCTGTGCGCATTCTCAAGTGTGAGATTTTCACGGGTGGCTCCTGCCCAACCGAGAATACATCTTGATGATGTTTCAGCCCAGGAGAGGTCCCCTCTCCAGGGACATGCCTTTGATTACAAGAAATGAGCTGCCTATGAGAGGGCTGAGAATAAACCAAGCGCATTTCCCAAACTGTGAGCTATCCTCGTAGCATCGGTAAAACCCTTTGTGAGCTGCCACACTTAGCAGGTGACAGCCACTCCTCGGCAGAAGCCACGGCGACAGCTCCCGCCGGCCTCATGCGAGCGGCGCTCCGCGCCTCCGCTCAGGTGCACGCCCGGCATCCCCCGGCTCCCGGCGGAGCTCCGGCCCGGCAGGAGCTGCCACTGCCGGACCCCGGCATCCCCCGGCTCCCGGCGGAGCTCCGGCCCGGCAGGAGCTGCCACTGCCGGATCCCCAGCGCCGAGCGGAGCCGAGCTCCGGGCCCGCCGCCGCACGGGGGCACGGCACGGACCCCCGGGCAGCAGCATCCCCGGGCACGGGGCGAAGCAGCAGCTCTGGCTGGAGACGCCGCCCGGCTGATCCCGCTCCGCGGGCCCCTCGAAGGAGCAGGCCGGCCGGAGGGAGGCCCTACGGGGACCCGCCGCCGCCCACCACCACCTCCGGGGCCTCACCCTTGCTCGTCCTCGTCGCAGGCCTGGCTGGGCTGTCGCGCCCCCACGACCGCTCCCGACGAAGCCTTGCTGCCGCTCTTCTTCAGGATGCCCTTGATGGGCCCCCGCCCCGTCGCCGAGGCGTCCGGTACCGACGGCTCCTCCATGGCCGCGCCGCCCGTCCGGCTCCGCCGCCGCCGCCGCCGCCGCGAACCACTCGAGGGTGATGCACACAGGGACAGAGGGACACACGGACATGGCAGGGACACGGACACACAGACACACGGACATGGCAGGGACACGGACACAGATACACGGACACGGGGACACAGGGGGACACAGGCACAGAGATACAGGGACACACAAGCACACAGACACAGAATCACGGAATCGGTCGGGTCAGGGGTCACATTGCACAGGATTGTGTCCAGATTGTTCTTGAATATGCCCAGTGATGGAAACTTCACAGCCTCTCAGGGCAATCTGTTCTAGTGCTCCATCACCCGCACAGTAAAGAAATTCTTCCTCATGTTCAGGTGAAATTTCCTGTGCATCAGTTGCTGCCTATTGCCTCTCATCCTCGTGGTTGGCACTACTGAGAAGAGCCTGGCTCCATCTTCTTGGCATCTCCCGTTCAGATCCATACCCGCTTTGATGAGGACACACGGACACACAGGTCTGCCGTGTGTGCTGCCCTGGGGGTGTCTGCACATCCCCGGAGCTCCTGGGGCTGCGTGGGGCTTGTGCCTGTTTGGCACTCCCAGCCACTCGAGGGTTTTGCCCGTGCAGGGTGTCCCACGCGTGTGCTGGAGCGCTGGGGACAGCAGCTGGCACGTGGCAGGGCAGGCTCAGCTGTGCTGCCATGTCCCCGAGCTCTCTGTGCTGCCATGTGGAGATGCCCCCGGCACAACGTGCTTGCCAGAGCAGCCCAGGTTTGTCATGGTCTCTGTGGCACAACGAAGGAGCCAGCGTGGTCTCCAGAGGGCCCAGGCATGGCAGGGGTTTGTCTCTGAGTGAAACATTTCCATTTCTCAGCCGCGCCTGGAGAGCCCAGTTCCCAGCCAGATCCAGGGGCAGTGCTTGCCCTGCCCATGGGGCTGCAGGTTCCCACCCCTAGGGCTCAGTGGGCCGTGCCATGGGCTTGCATCACACAGAATGAGGGCTACAGCAGCACCATCCATGTGAGAAGGAAAATAGGAACCCGATGAAGCAGTGATTAAATTATTACACCCAGAATCTGACACGCTTGGGAACAACCGTGCAGTTGTTTGTATCCTGGCATGTCCATCATCCTTATAGCCTGAAAAGTCGGGTGGAGTGTTTAATTCTGTGTCACAGGAACTGTGGCATTAGGATTTGAAAGTTTAAAGGATAATGACTTAAACATGGCAGTTGTTTCTGGTCCCTCCCATCCTGGCCTCCTCTGACTGGTAAAGATTAGTGACTGGAGATTTGAAAGTTTAAAGGATAATAAATGACTTAAACATGGCAGTTGTTTTTGGTCCCTCCCATCCTGGCCTCCTCTGACTGGTAAAGATTAGTGACTGGCTTCCTGCTCAGCTCCTGTCGCTCTCCCAGGGCAAGAAAGTGCTCTACAGCACACCCACATCACCAGGGTCCCCTCAAAATAAGTGTAGAATGTTTCCTACAGATTTACAGCATTCTACATCCATGTCATTATTTCTTCATGTCAGTAAAAGCAGCAGGAGATGGGGGTCACCGTCAGCCAAAGCCACAACACAAATTTGCTGGCAGGACTCAGACGATGGGGGGTGCCCATACATCCAGCCTGGAGAGCTGGAAAGAGCTCCAGGCTCTTGGAACAAACCATTTCAGCCGTGGTTGTTATGTTCACTGCAACCCTGCCGTGGTGGTGCTGCAGCCCCAGAGGAGGGGCAGGTCCCACACACTGAGCCCCCCAGCCTGCTGGCAAAAGCTGTGCAGCTGGGAAGGTACAAAAGGCCCGAAGCAGGAATTTTTATTTCATTTTTAATGAGTTGCATGAATGCTATTCAAGCAGAGTTGTCGTGGTGCCTGCTGAACACCTGCCAGGGCAGATGCAGCGCCAGCGGGCACTCGGCACGTGCAACAGCAGCGGGCAGGATGTCAGGCAGAGCCTGCTGTCTCCTGGTGTTCAGGGAAAAGCCTCTGGAAGACAGAACAAGGGAGCAGCCCCATCTCTTTATGTCTGCTCACAAGTACAGTCAGAGCTGGCCCCTTGGGAGGGCAGGACCAGTCTCATCAGAGGCAAGAGAAGGACACATATAGACATTGGGGATGGAGTGATGCTGAATCCCTGGACATTTTTAGATTTAAAATACAAAGAGCAAGATCTGATTTCTAGAAAGAAGATCTTCTGACTTAGCAGCAACATATGCCTACACCCTGCCCTGAAAAACTTTCAAGACCCCCAGCCTCAGTTCCCAGGCTGCAGGACCAATCCACCATGTCTGGATGTTGCTGCTGCTAAGGCAGTGCTCAGTGTAGCTCAGACACTGTAGATTTCTGGCAGGCCCAGAAGCATCAAGACAAAATTTGGAAATGAACATGGGGCTGTGTGATGAACAATTTTTCCCCAGGACTAATACTTGCACATCACAACTCATATCCTTTCCCATCCACGTACTGGAGGACTCACAGCAGCAGCAGAGTTTCAGGTCTGCATTTCAGGGTTTCTTTCTTTCACCCACTAGCACTGACTCAGTCAGTTATGCTGCAGCAGTCAGAGCAAGACAAAAAGAGGGGGAAGAGCGATATGGGGAACGACAGCAAGGAGTACCTCTGGGCTGGCTAACTACTGTTAGCAAAGAGGAAACTACTGTTATTAAATTTCTCGGGTACACAGAGAAATTCTAATGGATAATAAAGCAAGCAACAAAGTTTCTCTCTGGTTTGGGGCTGTGTCGCTGCATGCCAGGAGTTACATCTCAGCGGGGCAGTTGGCTTGGTCAGTGGGTATCATCTTCTCGGTGTCGATCTTGTAGGACTGGAGAACACTCTTCAGGTTCTCCACGGTTTCTGGGTGCATGTCAGGAGCTCTTGACAGAATCCAGGCATAGTCCATGTGGAAGAGCCAGAGGATGTTAGTGCAGGAGTAAACCAGGGAGTAATTTTCATAGTCAGTGGAGATGACCCAGTAAGGGGCAGCCGGCATGACTAGGAGAGAGGAGGGCAGCGTGATTGCCGTGCATAACCAGCTCTGGACAGCTCTGCAGCACCACAGCCACAGTTCCTGGGACTGGTCCCACTTTGGCTGCTGCTTACTTGTGTTCGGTACAGGCAGCTATAATTTATAAAAGCCTACCAGGACTCCTTGTTCTGCCCAGAGGAACTTGGGAAAGACACAAAGCCCTGACTATGAAGGTCTTTCTGGAAAGTTAATGCTATGACCTGAACAGCTCTCCTGGGCTGATGAAAGCCAGCCCAGCCTCACCAGTGTGGGGGTGCTGTCTGCCAGGAAGGGGCTGTAGTGCTGGGAGCTGACACTGGTGACAGGAGGAGCACAAACTACCACCCACTGCCATGGGGAACCCTGGCTCGGGTTGCCAGCTGAGCCCCGAGCTGCTCTCTGGGGCTCGCACCCGGTGAAGGTGGCTGGGGCTGCACATGCTGCTGGTGAAAGGGCTGCCAGTGATGCCATAGCAGCACAGAATTCAGTCTGGCTGTGCTCATGGAACAGTCATTGTACTTCCTTTGCAACTACCCCTCCTCCACCCATTTCTCCAAATAACCCCTCTGCAAAAGAGAGCTGTGAAACTGCCAGAGAAAAGGTGTGAGGGAGCAGAATAGAATGTGATCCAAGGGGACACTGCAGCTCACTTTCCAGCATTGCTGCAGACAGAGGAAAGTGCTGTGCAATGTGGCACAGCACCTCAGCAGGCCCCTGTGGAGTGTTAGAGTGACAAGGGAAGGAACAAGCTAACAAAACCATATTATTAATGGTTATTAAAAGTCACTTGTACGTAAAGGCAGCGTGGGCAAGTAGCTGTACCATAGTGTGCAGAGAAACAAGCTTATTCTTGGCTTTTGCAGCACTGTGGGGCTGCCTCCCGCACCTCCCCACCTCCCTGTCCCCATCTGTGAAATGACCTGGAGGGATGGCAAGGCTGCTGATCTTTCTTGCTTTGAGACCAGCTGGTGAAGAGTTCTCCACCACTGAGGGGGCTGTTGCTGTAAATGGCATATCAGTGTCACCAAACCACTGCCTGCAGGTCACAGCGTCTATTTTAGCCCTTTGCTGCTGTGCTGAAGTCACATGGGGAGCTCCACCTTTGCTTGGCAGTTTCTGACCCCTGGTGCTCAGAGCACAGCCCTGCTGTGGGCACCGGGAGCCTTCCCAGCACACACTTACACCAGTTAAAGCGGACGCCCAGCTTGGCCGGCTGCTTTACATCCATGTGCATGAGTTCTCCTTCAGCTTCATTGATCTTGCCATTGGCACTAAGGGGAGAATGACAAAAGTGAGAAATATAGTCAGGAAAGTGGGAGATCTCTTTTTTTTTCACTTCCACTAAATCATCCCTCCTGACACAATGACCTGCCAAGAGGTGGCTGAAATAGGTACTATAAACCCCAGTATCCCTGAGGATGTTCTCAGCAGCAGGCGGGGCACAGCAGGTCCTGGGCCAGCTGCAGCTGGGTAGATGGTCTCTCAGGTTAAACACCTCAGCATCCCAAGCTGCCTCTCTCCATGTATCCCTGCCAGGGATGTCCTTTGGTTCCAGGGTGACAATGACAGAGAGGAAGGAGAGCAAGACTGCTCTGCAGTGGGTAGGAGGAACCCAGCAGGGGAGGATGGGAGGATCCCATCCATGATCTTGTATGTGCCAGGGAGCAGCTTAGCTCCTGGTAGTTGTGGAAGGCACGTGTTCACTTTTGTTTAATCACCTGTGCTTTTTCCAGGTCACTGCCCATTCCTCCACACGCAAATTACCTGTACCTGTGTGGTGAGCCAGGGTTTCTTAGGCTGCTTATTCAGAGCACTGCCCTGCTGGCAGCAAGCCCTAAGACTTGAGCTGCCCATCTCATAACAGCATTTTTGCACGGATGCCTCAAGACCTGCGTGCTGCCTATCAGGTAGGAAAGTTTCACGCTTCCCTGTAAAACAGGAACAACCAAGGAGGCAGAAGTGAATGCTGCCAGCAGCAGAGGTCAAGGGGCTGATGCTGGAGCCATGCACACTCAAAATATCCCTAATATTTCAGG